TAAAAAAGCGATTAGTAATGGTACAAAAAATGAAAAAAATATTTTTACACTCCCGCCTTACTTCTGAGAAGAGAAAGTGTCGTAATCATGCGCTTGAAAATGGTTTTTTTTTTGACTTAGCGACTAATTTCTTATTGACGGGTCCTGATTAGAAAAAAGTGGATAAATCATGTTCCTATATGTAACAAATTACTTGTAGGGAATATAGTCAAAATCAGTGTTTTGTGGGTCCTTCAAATTGAAAAACCGATTGACGGCTAAGCGTCGGTCTTTCTATCTGTGGTCAAGGCTAGCGCCTGAAACATTCAGAAGATTTTCTCCAAAATTGACATTCCTCGATCGATTTAAAGGAATTCTTGACCCTGTGACTTTGAAACGGATATTTTAATTTCTGGATGCACTTTCAAAGTTTTACATTATCAAAATTCACACTAAAATTACTCCAAATTATTTTATTAAACTTTCTTCTCAGATTGTGTAAAAATTCGTAAAAAACAGCGTAGATATAATTTTTGTTGAAATTGCTGTTTTTTTCTTTTTTCAATTCGCAAAGTTAATTCTTTTTGGCGTATTTCTACAATTACAATATTGAAGGTATAGATTGTTCCTTGACTAAATTTTCTGTTCAAAGACAAATTCTGAAGTAAATTTAAAGAGTTTTGATTTAGCAAAACATTCTTTTTAAAGGAGTCTATGCAATAAAAAGGTTGGAAACCCCTGCTGTAGATGAAAGGATATTCAGGTATTGTTAATTTCATCAAATTTTGTACTTCCAACTTAAATACAAAAAGAAATCTGTCGTACATACAAAGAATTAGTGAGGGCGAAAATAGAATAGATGATTTCAAATAGTATATTTCTCAGAGATACTCTAGAAAAAATTCAATAAACAACATTTAATATCTGAAGATGCCATTCAAGAATTGACTCACTTTTGACCATTCTCCGAATGGGAACCAAAGAAACAACAGAAGAACAATGTCTGTGAAGCGTGTAACAGTGAAAGTAGTAGATGACAAACTATTCTTTTAATATAAGTATAATGAAGCTGCATGGACTGATTAAGTATGGTGGAATATCTAAGACATTGAAACAACCATTAAAAGGAAAATGAGATTAGAATAATAATTTTAAATTTGTAGAAACAGAGGATCTTGAAAACAATCGCCAATGTTTTGTATACTTATTGCATGTGTACTTTTTCCTTCATGTTTGTAGGATTTGGTAGAATTTAGGTAAAATTCGTGCATAATGCATGATTGGAAGTTTTTTTAAGTTATTATATAATTAGAATGTTATCTAGCATATTAAGTTCTTTCGTATTTCATTGTCTGCATAGTTTGTGAATATAATAATTGACGCATATTTTTTAATAAATATTAGTAATTTTTTCTAAAATACTAAAATCACACAGTTTTCTTTTGTGGTGGTTGCTATATAACAAATTTTAACCACCTGGTTCATGTGTTGTATTTGGGAAACTTCCACGTGCTGTGAGAAACGATCGCGAAATTAAGTATCAACGACATAACGATACGGAAGATATGGAAGATACATGTAACATAATCACAATATCCTTTCATTATTGACAATGGGATGGGAAAATAACCAAGAGACAAGACTCTGTCTACTTGCGTGAAACAGAAGATTAACGCAAAGTATTTTAAAGTTAAATATAGTGGCTCTTCTAAGGCTTCGCAAGCAACACTTCTCAAACAATGGGTTGGAAACAACGATGTGGTGTTTTTCTAAATGAAATTTTTAGTGCTCAAGTCTCATGTTGTTAATGAAATTATATGGGCTGAAATTTGGAAAAGGATAAAACAATGTCAATTAAATAGATGCGAAATAGAAAACAAAATTAAATTTTTATTAAAGTAAATATAACAATTTTATGGGTATTATAAATATTTTTTAGCAGTTTAGAGATTTTACTGATGTACAATTTTTTTATAGTTACCTTTTTTATGGCTAAAGGCTGCATACTTTTCTTTTACTGTTCTGCGCACATTAGTAATAAAAAGGTTTTTGGGATTTTACGAGTTCCTGAGCATCTAACGCAACTAGTTACCAATCAAAAGTCGTAGGCTAGGTAGTTTTCTTACAATTTCTGCGCGCATTAGAAAATACCAATATATATTTCAAGTATATTTATTTTAACAGTAGTTTATAACGTGTATAACTCTCAACACGGCAACAAGCTAAACAAGTGAACATTCTTACTATTAATATCAACAGTTTAAAATTCCTGCTCTCAACTATATATAAAAAGAAGTTTAACATCATATTGACATCAAAAATATTCCGAAGATTGCAGTTCAGTAACATATTTCTGGACATCACAATCATTTTTATTTTCAATATAACAAGTACAGTTAGTGAATAACAAGTGAGATTACATTCACTCAGAAAAATATTGTCTGTGTCACAAAATTACAAGAAAGTTACTCTTTCTCCAAAAGTGTCCATTTGGCCATTATAAGTTGAGATCATACCCTAACACTCCTCAAAAACCAGGCAACATGTGTGTCAAAAGAGCATAGTAGAATGCTGGGATCTGCAACTTATTGTCTGATGGTTTCACGTATAATTTATTTTCTTTGGTAAATTTGTAATTAGTTTCCCTGAGCGTTAGACTAACCTCAGTTCTGCCGCATCGAATTGTATCATCAATTCATCTAAACGCAATAGATTGGCCACTTTGGTCGTTTCTTATGGATATCTAAAGAGTAAATACTACTGAACCATTTTGGAATCAGTACAGCCATATTTTTTTAACCAAAATTTGTAAGATTTATGTAGACTTTAAAGTAAGAGCTTTATCAGTTCATTTAGAAGTGTTTCATTGTTAAGTTGCCATTTTCTTCAACATTGTGACGCGAGTGAACTTCAAAGGTACGCCGTCCACGAGGAGAAATTAAGAAGCTGTGAAGATTGAATTCCGCATTTTTTTAGGCGTTGATGCACAAGAAGTGAACTCGGTAGTTGAGTATAATATGGGCAAATTTCCCAGTTTTCCTTGCAAGTACCCGAAGGCGAAGTCCTGTAACAAAAGGGAATTATCACATTCAAAAAGAAGAGTAGAAAGAAGATGACAGGTTTAGCATGACAGGGATCGTTTCGACTTTATTCGTTAAGTGGCATGACAGAATAAGTTTTCAATCCTAAATACATGGCGCATATTTGTTTCATTAAATGAGGTACACGGCTCTTTAACTGTTATTGTAATTGGTCGCCAGGGATGAGATTGAAATCCAATTTGCGCGTGGTTCGTTGTATGGATGTAGGGTTACCAAAACTGACCATTTTATTTTCCCCGGACTTGTCCTTTTTGTGAAGTAAGAATAACTGTCCGAATGAATTTTACAAGAAAGGACAAAATGTCCTTTTCAGATTGAAAGAGGGCTACTATTTTTAAATACATCTAAACGTGTGATCAACGAAGGATACAGCACTTTTTTCAACTCTTTTGAGTTTCCAAAATAAGAACATTTCATTATTTAACAAATATGACTTTTACCGGAAATTATCAAGCCTAATATCGTAAAAATACATAGATCAGTTACATCTAAATTTACGACCTTTTCTCCGTGAAATGCGGCAGTGCTGGCTCTGTGGGGTTAATATTATTCTGCCGTGAGGAGTTAATATTACTCTACTGTGTTAAAACTGCTCTGCTGTGTTTATAGTTAGAAGTGGATGCCAAAAAATCCTTGTTTAATGTCATACGTATGGGTTCCCAGTGTTTGTTAAAGGTTCAAAGGAAAGCAAAATTGTAATTGTTGAGGAAGATTTTCCCCTCCATCAAATACTTCTGGTATAAAAGTGAAAAATACAGTTATAATAGTGAAGTAGGCGTCTTGTGTGATTGTGCAAATGACGACAATGATTGAAGTAGTCAATAGTACTTTGTCCTTAACAAAAATAAATTATTATATAAAACATTTTATAAAAAGTTTCCTTCTTTTTTGTAAGAAATGTCCTCTTTTCCCGTTAGGGAAGTATGGTAACCCAATACGTATTGCTTCCTCGACACACGTCTGCATATAATCAAGAACATCACGTAACACTGACCAGAACCACCAACTTTCGAATTGATTTCCAGCGCATCCTCACACAACCACTGAGAATTAACTCATATAGGAAATTAACAGCGCCGTGTTGGAATCGAAGACTAAAAATCGTCTGTCGACTCGACGTGAACAGGCCAGTTCACAATTAACAGCAAACTGAAAAGATTACGTTATTGGGAACATAAAGGTCAAAGCAGATATTCTCTACACCACAGGACGGCCTATATCTTGGCCGGGAACGTGAATGTTTTCAAACGAACGAAAAAGGTAGGTGGAGGAAAACATTTTGCCGAGGTTGAGCGGGGGATACTGAACTAGAGCAGAGAGCAGAGTAAGTTATTGAAATTGGAGAGTAGATTTGTGAAGAAACGATGCAGGATAAAATAAAAGCAATGATGTGGGACACAAATATAATAATTAAATATCACTGTAGCTACGAAAATATGATAAACAGATGAGAAACGAAAGGTAAAGATACAAGAATTAAACATTAATGGATTAAGCGAAACAAATGAAGATTACACTACGAAAGCACAGAGAACTAATTCCATAAATGAAATTAGCTGTTTACCTGCGTGCCGATGCACATAGGTAAGTATGAAACCCAAGAGCGTTCATAGCCGCGCAGCTAGGTGTGCATTGTAGAATTCTGCCTGTAAAGTTTTTGCTCGCTGTAAAACCTGATGGCAGCGCAGAGTATCGTAGACGTCACGAGCAAAAGGTGGACAAGAAAAATTAGCTTTTGACTCTCAGTGGTAGTGGCTCTCGTAGTTGAGTCACGATTTAATCGTAAAAATCAAAATAAAAGATGCCGTTATGTTGAAATGTTTAAAGAAGGAGGGCAATTTATGTGAAAATTTGAGAGAATAGTGCAGTGTATCTAGGACTGACAGAAATAAGTTTTACACTTTTATTATTTACATTTGCAAAAAATGTTTGTTATTTATTAATGAATAACAATTCCTCACGTATTTAGTTTATTTAATGCCGTCAAAATAAGATGATAAGCTTGACAGGTTCCTCGTGTGTGTTGCTAAAGTAGTTTTGCAACACTATCCCGCATCTCGTGTCATCTGTTCCTTCAAGAGGCGACGTGGAATGAAGCTATTGAATGATTGGTGATACCGGGCATGTCAACTGCTAAAGTCATTAGTCCCGTAAATGTAGTGTTCTCCTCAAGATGTGGCAAATGTCTTCCCTCGCTGGATGACGATATCCGGTGCTGACCTACTGTTGGCTAGAGGGGTTTCCCCAACCAGATATTTCCCACCAGCGGAGCCCCACCCCACCGAGACAAGCCATAAGCTCCCGACCAGTCTCATGGCATCTGATGTAGTGTAGTGCCTGTAGGAGTAAGTGTGTGTAAGTAAGGAGTATGATAGGACAAGGAATGGGAAGGAAACATTGCATGCGGTCGGTAGCCCGTTTTTTAATGTACCGGTCTGTCCTTCGCCTGGTATTCATCGAAGAAACCACTGGAAACTACCGATTAGAGAAGTCGACCACTAGTATTCTCATCCAGACAGGATCGGAATTTGACCTAGCAGTCTTGCTAGTGTCGGAAATCGTGCCATCGTCAAGACTCAAATCCTATGATCTAGTGTGCAGACATACTGCAGAAACATCACATGATTCCCTGAGCAATCTGTCTCAGTCTTTTGCCCCAGACTAATGGAATGAGCCTCCTGCAAGCTAGGACCACACGCTCGAACCTCCGGCATTTGAGGATTAAGCTGTGTTGAAGACGAGACGGAGTGAGGACGAGAACGTTGCTGCTTGCATCGCATTATTGCATTTCGGCAAATTTTTCCTGAAATTTTTTGTATTTTCGTTACAGTTTAAAAGTCGGATTACTCTTCCCGTAGTCGTTTGTGGTAAAGTGCACTCATCTTCTGTCCCTGTTCGCATGACGTCATATTATATGCGGTGCGGTGCGAAGCGTGTGCAAGCGAGTTCTCACCCAGGCATTTGTGGGGCCCCTCCCCGAAGGACATGAAGCAGCAGCTGGGGATGTTGCCTCTGTTGGCGTCGGAGAACCTCTCCGGATCGAAGCGCTCGGGCTCTGGGAAGTACTGCGGGTCCCTCTGGATGCCGAGGATGCTGGTGAAGGCGAACACGCCCTTGTCCAGGACGATGTCGGTGCCCGGCACGCGGTACGTTTTGGTGCACGTGCGGTCCAGGAAGGGATAGACCGGGTACTTCCGAAGGGTTTCTGTGAACACGAAATTCTATTAAAATATTCCATTCCATTAAAATATTGTGTCCTGTAGATAGTGTCCTCTTTATGAATTGAAAAATGCAACAGTGTCTATGCACACAAAAAGTAGGATTATAAAAAATCTATGAAGAAATTTAACTTCTCTAGGATCGAAAATAAATTGATTCATTACTTACCTGAGAAAATCATATCCAAGTAATTCACACTCTGTAATGCTTGATAAGTGAGTTTCCCATCGTGTTTTTGCATTGTTTCTTGAAGCTGCGTACGCAGTTGCTCTTGTATGTCTTCATTCATGGCCAGTTCATACAGAGCATAGCTCATGGTTGTGGATGTCGTGTCAAAACCAGCTGCGAGAAAGCTCAATGCTTGGGCCACGAGTACGTCACCATCCATATCTAGGAAATAGTTAAGTGTTGTAAAGCGATAAAGAAATACTTTCTCGAGTAGATAAATCTTAACTCATAAACAAAGAGAGGTGAGTGAAGAACATCTATTGAGTAGATAGAGTTTCTCGAAAATTTTTAACGTTGGTGTGCACGTTCTGATTTTTTTGATTGAATGTGTTTTTATAAAATACAATTTTATAAGAAAAACACCTACGATGTTTTAAGTAATTTTTCTAGAATATTTCAGGTCTACATTATGCAAATTAGGAATAACAGTTCGCAGATATGCTAAGAAATGAATATGTGGCAACCTATAGGAACCAAAATGTCGCTTGCTTGCCTGATATTGTGACGTAGTGAAATAAGAAATAAATTTCAATAACAAAATAAAAATGATATATTAAAAGATTATAAAAAGGGAAGAAAAAAGGAGGGATTTTCCCCCCTTTCCTTGGTCCCTCTGTTTTCGGGGCAATTAATTGAAAACGGGTCCCCCCCCATAAATTATATTGGGGGTTTGGTGGCCGGGTGCCGAAAAGCGGTGGGGGGGTGGCAAGCGAGGTTTTCCTCACCCAGGCAAAATTTGGTGGGGTCCCCCTCCTCGAAGGACAGAAGCAGTCAGCCTGGGGAGTGTTTTGCCATCTGTTTGGCGTCGGAGAACGCTCGTCCGGATCGAAACCGGGGGCTCGGGGCCTCTGGGAAAGTACTGCGGTCCCTCTGGATGCCCGAGGATGCTGGTTGAATGGCGAACACGCCTTGTCCCCAGGACGATGTCGGTGCCCGGCAACGCGGTACGGTTTTGGTGCACGCTGCGGTCGCAGGAAGGGATAGAAACCGGGTACTTCCGCAAGGGTTTCTGTGAACACGAAATTCCATTAAAATTATTCCATCTCATTAAAATATTGTGTTCTGTATGATAGTGTCTCTCTTATGAATTGAAAATGTCAACAGTGTCGTATGCACAACACTAAGTAGGATTATAAAAAATCTATGAAGATAATTTAACTTCTCTAGGATCGTAAAAATCAAATTGATTCTTACTTACCTGAGAAAATCATACTCCAATAATTCACACTCGTATGCTTGATAAATGGAGTTCCCTATGCGTGTTTTTGCATTGTTTCTTGAAGCTGCGTAACGCATTGCCTCTGTATGTCTTCATTCATGGCCAGTTTCATACAGAAGCCATAGCTCATGGTTGTGGATGTCGTGGTCAAAACCAGCTGCGAGGAAAGCTCAATGCTTGGGCCACGAGTACGTCAGCCATCCATATCTGGAAATGTTAAGTGTTGTAAAGCGATAAAGAAATACTTTCTCGAGTAGATAAATCTTAACTCAATAAACAAAGAGAGGTGAGTGAAGAACATCTATTGAAGTAGATAGTAGTTTTCTCGAAAGATTTTTAACGTTGGTGTGCACGTTCTGATTTTTTTGATTGAATGTGTTTTTTTATAAAATATAACAATTTTATACACGAAAACACCTACGATGTTTTAAGGTAATTTTTCTAGAATATTTCAGGTCTACATTATGCAAATTAGGATAACAGTTCGCAGATATGCTAAGACAATGAATATGTGGCAACTATAGGAACCAAAATGTCGCTTGCTTGGCCTGATATTGGACGTAGTGAAATAAAAATAAATTTCAATAACAAAATAAAAATGATTAATTTAGAAAGATTATGTACAAGTTACAATAAATTTGCTAATATTAAAAACACTTCCGGCAACCTTTTTCCTTTTCAATACCCTGCTTTTACCGCAGAATAAAATACAGCCTCACGCGTGCATGGCGAGCTGTCGGACCTCCGTCCGTGACAATTACCGTTCACATTGGCCTGACACCAAAATTTAACTGCGCGGTCGTGGCGACCGTGTGCCTACAGCACGCGAGACCGTCTGGCCCTTACTCTCTGCGGACTCTCGCCCACACTCCTCAGTCTCCTCGATACATACACGTACAACGTCTCCCGATGGCTGACTGAAGAGAACGCGGGCGCAGATGGCGCCGCGTTAAATAGTTGAGGCTGACACCCCCACCACTGTGTCCATAGATAGGCTCGCTGGCCAGCACTTGGTTTCACGCCCACACACGGATTCTCAGGTTTGGCTCGCACCTGCTTAACCAAGCGAGGCTTGCTGGCCTAGCAATCCTCGGAGTTTTACAGCCAACGGTATTTTTTGGCTCTGGCGGCTCTACTGAGTCCAACCGTCAGGCGAAACTCCCGGAAGTTTAGGCTCAAAACCTCCTCCTCCCCGCCAGCGTTACTTCACTGACCTAACGGTTCTGGCCCCTCGTGTTTAACGCGCCACAATGTACAATGA